TTGACGTCCAGTAGTGGGAATTTCTGGATGGACCCATGTCTCTTTTTCTGCTTGTGCCGCCTCCTCCCCCGGTCTGTGCTTGCTGTTCAGCAAGGGGTAGCGGCGGCTGCGCAGGTGGCTGTTTCAACAACTTCCCCGCAGGGGTCTGGGATCTCTGGTTCAGTTTCTCCCTTGGCCAGTAGCTTGGAGCTGCCTAGGTGAATGGTGTGCTTGCACGGCTCGTCTCTCTCTTCCTTCATGGATTCAAACGCTATCTTCATCATGCCGATCATCTGCTCTAGCAGTCGGCTGGAAGGCACTGGTCAGTCTTCTTCATCTTTGCTGAACAAAAGGGATCTCTCCATCTCCACCTTCCAGCCTGGTTGATGATTGCCTTGTCTGAGCGTCACCTTCCTGGCCTTCTTCTCCCAGTCATCCTTCTTTCCGACTCCCATTGACTACCTGGGTTTGTGGTGGTGTTCGGCCACCACCTCCTCTTCAGAGGAGCTCGAGGAGTCAGAACTGGAGTACTTGCAGGAGTCTACCTGGCGGGAGGCTTCCCCTCCCCCCATCGCTGGCTCCACTCTCTCGATTTCAGTATCAGATATACTTTGCTAGTCCCCCAGTAAGAGTCTTCCTTCCGGGCTGACCAGTACTGCAGATCCTGTCTAATATCAGGGCCCACTTCAATACCTCATCCTAATTATTAAAGTGATGCTATTAGTATTGTTTTTAATAACTGTAAGAAAGCAGAATTTGTGGAAGCCGTTTCTTCCAAAAGGAATTTTTATTAGGAGAAGCTGAAAGCAGGCATGATAGACATATCTCAGGGTTTCCTGCCCAGATCAATAGGTAAAAAAAGTCCCCAGTTCATCCGGTCAGTTATGGGCCAATCCCCAGGTGTTAAGTCCATTGTGGGAAAACTCTGATAGCACCAATCTGTCTCAGGCTCATAGCGATGTTTGTTGGGTCTTTCGCACCTTCCCATCAGGTGTAGGAGATAAGTGAGGTAGCTGAAGGCACATTCCTTCCCCCCCCCCCCCGGTTCAAGTGGACTTCAAGGGGGAGACAGTTCAAAGAGCAAGCATGTAGAACAGTGAAGATTACATTGTAACGATAAGAGAAACAAAGCGACAGCCCGCAGCATTTTCCCCCCTCCCCTCCAGGAGTATGGCAGAACCCAGAAGCATAGAGAAGATAGAAATATAGGTGAAAAGATCCCCCCCCCAAATATATGGGTTTTGACATTCTCTTTTTAGTGCAGAGTTC